AAGAAAGGCAGGATAGAAATATAGCGAAAACAGATTTTTCTCAAATAAATAGTAGAATAAGAGATTGTATAACCGAAAAATTGATGAGGAAATAGTTATGCTGAATTAGCCCGAATGGACAGCCAAGATACTATAAATGAACTCTATATAAGCCATAGGCTGTTAGGGGTTTTATAGAAATAAGGTTCAGGGTTGGTGATGCATAATTTTGGCTTCAAAACAGCGTCGGCAACAGGGATAGTTTAGTATCCCCCCTGTTATCTCATAAGGCAACATATGATTGGTCTTATTTAAAAACTTCGCCTTCCTGACTAAATACACCAGGAAGCACAGGCACGTAGGGCTTCTGTAGTTCATGGTCGAAGATATATTGAAAATAAGTTAATAGATGCTCTATTGGCTATGCAAAACTATCAAGCTGTTTTTACACGATTACACGATATCTTTGCGGCCTGGTTCAGTCCTGTATTCTCCAGTTGAAGATTCAGATCGAGTGGAGTGTACATGCAAGCCAGGGGCAGCGCCAGCTCCAGTGGAGAACCGAGAGAAGCCTGTTTGTGTGGATAGGCATTTCAGATCACTAGGCAGCTTTACTTCATAGCCAAGAGCACGTAAGAGTTCGGCATCAGTGCTGCAACTAAAATATGTAGAGGGTATAGTGGCTAGTAAATAAAAAATACAAATGCATAAACGTAACTCTTAATTATTGATAAGGTTCCTTAAAATAACAAGGATGTGAGAATGCCTGGATTCATATTAATTTACTGAGATGTGTATAATATTTAATAAAACGTAAGCTTTCGAAAATTTTGTGTACTTGAAATATTTTATTTCTATTATATAAGCTGTGCCAAGTAACAACCCCTAGGGTGCACTGTATCCTAATATTTTTATTTCCCGTATAAAAAAATATATCTTAATCAATTACTTACACTGCTCAAGTTTTGCTCAGGCATGACAATGAGGCTGGTTAAACATCTGCGTGATAGAGTTCGATAAATCGGAAGGGAAATAGTGATCTTCTTGAAGCTAGACTTGGCCAAAAACAACTATCTCATAAAATAGGTAAATCTATCTCAAGTGGATCTGCAAAAGAGATCAGCAATAAACTAAGAAAAAGAATCAAAGTGCACTTTATCCCCCAGAGAACAATGCGGTTAGTTTTATTCACAGAAAAACCTACCTTATTAATGGCACTAAAAATTGCTCATTATCGTTTAACCTCAAAGTACTCATCAACTTATACGTAACTGTAGTGCATATGTGGTGATCAGCAGGCAAGTCTAATCTCCACCGTATTCCACATCCATAATCCGAAATAATAGTGAGAGCTAGTTGCCGTATGAGTTAAAAAAATCAATTTAATTCA